ACACGCGCTCTCACACACACACACACGCGCTCTCACACACACACACACGCGCTCTCACACACACACACACGCGCTCTCACACACACACACACGCGCTCTCACACACACACACACGCGCTCTCACACACACACACACGCGCTCTCACACACACACACACGCGCTCTCACACACACACACACGCGCTCTCACACACACACACACGCGCTCTCACACACACACACACGCGCTCTCACACACACACACACGCGCTCTCACACACACACACACGCGCTCTCACACACACACACACGCGCTCTCACACACACACACACGCGCTCTCACACACACACACACGCGCTCTCACACACACACACACGCGCTCTCACACACACACACACGCGCTCTCACACACACACACACGCGCTCTCACACACACACACACGCGCTCTCACACACACACACACGCGCTCTCACACACACACACACGCGCTCTCACACACACACACACGCGCTCTCACACACACACACACGCGCTCTCACACACACACACACGCGCTCTCACACACACACACACGCGCTCTCACACACACACACACGCGCTCTCACACACACACACACGCGCTCTCACACACACACACACGCGCTCTCACACACACACACACGCGCTCTCACACACACACACACGCGCTCTCACACACACACACACGCGCTCTCACACACACACACACGCGCTCTCACACACACACACACGCGCTCTCACACACACACACACGCGCTCTCACACACACACACACGCGCTCTCACACACACACACACGCGCTCTCACACACACACACACGCGCTCTCACACACACACACACGCGCTCTCACACACACACACACGCGCTCTCACACACACACACACGCGCTCTCACACACACACACACGCGCTCTCACACACACACACACGCGCTCTCACACACACACACACGCGCTCTCACACACACACACACGCGCTCTCACACACACACACACGCGCTCTCACACACACACACACGCGCTCTCACACACACACACACGCGCTCTCACACACACACACACGCGCTCTCACACACACACACACGCGCTCTCACACACACACACACGCGCTCTCACACACACACACACGCGCTCTCACACACACACACACGCGCTCTCACACACACACACACGCGCTCTCACACACACACACACGCGCTCTCACACACACACACACGCGCTCTCACACACACACACACGCGCTCTCACACACACACACACGCGCTCTCACACACACACACACGCGCTCTCACACACACACACACGCGCTCTCACACACACACACACGCGCTCTCACACACACACACACGCGCTCTCACACACACACACACGCGCTCTCACACACACACACACGCGCTCTCACACACACACACACGCGCTCTCACACACACACACACGCGCTCTCACACACACACACACGCGCTCTCACACACACACACACGCGCTCTCACACACACACACACGCGCTCTCACACACACACACACGCGCTCTCACACACACACACACGCGCTCTCACACACACACACACGCGCTCTCACACACACACACACGCGCTCTCACACACACACACACGCGCTCTCACACACACACACACGCGCTCTCACACACACACACACGCGCTCTCACACACACACACACGCGCTCTCACACACACACACACGCGCTCTCACACACACACACACGCGCTCTCACACACACACACACGCGCTCTCACACACACACACACGCGCTCTCACACACACACACACGCGCTCTCACACACACACACACGCGCTCTCACACACACACACACGCGCTCTCACACACACACACACGCGCTCTCACACACACACACACGCGCTCTCACACACACACACACGCGCTCTCACACACACACACACGCGCTCTCACACACACACACACGCGCTCTCACACACACACACACGCGCTCTCACACACACACACACGCGCTCTCACACACACACACACGCGCTCTCACACACACACACACGCGCTCTCACACACACACACACGCGCTCTCACACACACACACACGCGCTCTCACACACACACACACGCGCTCTCACACACACACACACGCGCTCTCACACACACACACACGCGCTCTCACACACACACACACGCGCTCTCACACACACACACACGCGCTCTCACACACACACACACGCGCTCTCACACACACACACACGCGCTCTCACACACACACACACGCGCTCTCACACACACACACACGCGCTCTCACACACACACACACGCGCTCTCACACACACACACACGCGCTCTCACACACACACACACGCGCTCTCACACACACACACACGCGCTCTCACACACACACACACGCGCTCTCACACACACACACACGCGCTCTCACACACACACACACGCGCTCTCACACACACACACACGCGCTCTCACACACACACACACGCGCTCTCACACACACACACACGCGCTCTCACACACACACACACGCGCTCTCACACACACACACACGCGCTCTCACACACACACACACTCTCTCACACACACACACACACTCTCGCTCACTCTCGCTCACACACACTCTCGCTCACACACACTCTCTCTCACACACACTCTCTCTCACACACACTCTCGCTCACACACACTCTCTCTCACACACACTCTCGCTCACACACACTCTCTCTCACACACACTCTCGCTCACACACACTCTCTCTCACACACACTCTCGCTCACACACACTCTCTCTCACACACACTCTCGCTCACACACACTCTCTCTCACACACACTCTCGCTCACACACACTCTCTCTCACACACACTCTCGCTCACACACACTCTCTCTCACACACACTCTCGCTCACACACACTCTCTCTCACACACACTCTCGCTCACACACACTCTCTCTCACACACACTCTCGCTCACACACACTCTCTCTCACACACACTCTCGCTCACACACACTCTCTCTCACACACACTCTCGCTCACACACACTCTCTCTCACACACACTCTCGCTCACACACACTCTCTCTCACACACACTCTCGCTCACACACACTCTCTCTCACACACACTCTCGCTCACACACACTCTCTCTCACACACACTCTCGCTCACACACACTCTCTCTCACACACACTCTCGCTCACACACACTCTCTCTCACACTGTCACACACACAGACACACTCACTCTCACTCACACACTCTCACTCACACTCACACACACACACACTCTCTCTCTCTCTCACACACACTCACTCACTCACTCTCACACACACAGACACACTCACTCTCACTCACACTCACACACACACTCACACACACTCACGCTCACACACACTCACGCTCACACACACTCACGCTCACACACACTCACACTCACACACACACACACTCTCTCTCACACACACACTCTCACACTCATGAATATTGAACAGAAGGACCGCTGCGCCCGAGCAGGACCTGTGACGCAGCGGAAGTGACCTCACCGTCGGCGGGCTGCTGGAAGTTGACGTAAGCGTAACCGAGCGAGCGGCGGGTCATCATGTCCCTGCAGACCCGGATGGAGAGGATGGGCCCGGCCGGACTGAACTTCTCGTACAGCATGGCCTCGGTCACGTCCGCGTGCAGGTCGCCCACATACAGAGAAGCCATCGGGTAACTGGGCGCGCTGGGGTTCATCTTCACTCACGAGACGCGGACCTGATCGAACACACCCAAAACTGCTCGCGTTCGCTCACACGGTTAAGTACGCACTCGGAGACGGATTAAAACGCGTCCGGTACCGGTCCGGCGTCGATGTAGATCAGCACAAGCGGATAGAAATCTCCTCAGGCCTGCTGCGGTGCTGCTCTGCGATCAAACTCCTCAAAGCCGCCGCGGATCCTGCTTCGACGAGCTCTTCGGCAATACACGTAGATTTTTTGTTTGTTTTTTCTTCAGTTTTGTGATTTTTTTTTTTTGTATTTTTAGTTTTTTATATAAGATGCGTGCCGAGGCTCTGAGGCACGCGCGCTCTCTCTCGCACCGCACAAGTTAGGGGAAGAGAAGCGGAAGTGCGTCTCGGATAAGAAGGCGTCCTGGCCGGATGTTGCGTGGGGGTTCCGTTATATTCTTACGTAAGAGCAGAATAAGAGTCCGTGCATTTATAGAATAAGAGTGGCGCGAGTGACGCAGATAATAAAGGAGAACGTCGAGGTCATGTCTCGGGTTTCCAGGGACAAACATAGTCTGCTAAATGCATTAAATGTCATATCAATTTTTAATCCGAGATCGGTGTGTGTCTTGCCTTCTTGTTAAACATGAGTACGTCACGCGTGAAGTCCAGCTAGTGCACGACGAGCACTATTTTTATTTATTTATTTTTATTATTTTTTTAATAAGCTATGGTTTCTCTAGACAAGAGCCTTATTCCTCGGCTGGGATCGTGTAGAGCTTGAAGCTGCACTGAAAAAAATCCTGGAATGTTTTCCTCAAAAACCTTCATTTCTTTGCGACTGAAAAAAAGAAAGACTTAAACATTTTGGATGACATGGGTGTGAGTAAATTACCAGAAACTTTTATTCTGGACGTGAACTAATCCTTTTTTTTTATTCAAAAATTTATTAATTTTTTTATTATTTATGAATGCATTTTATGACATTTTTAAATTTTTTAAATTAATTTTTTCTCGCAATTATGAGTTATTATAATTATAAATGTGAGAAATATACACCCCAGATCTGAGAGAACAAAAACTGAATTTCTAGATATATACTCAAACTCTGACTTTTTTCCTCAGAATTGTGAAAAAATTAAAATAATAATAGAATTGTGAGATTATTTTTCTCCCCCGGCAGAAACAAACTTGCATGTGTTTATCTCCTTTTATTTTTATAAAAATACAGCTCTCTTGTCATCCAAGTACACACTCAGTACATGTTTGTGTTGTCATATTCTATATTTATTTTTCTTGTCATTGCTGGTTGTGTGTGT